AAGTCAAAACAGAGTCTGGCTGCCAGCATGCAAGTGCAACCGGATAGCCCATCCACTAGCTCCATCACTACCACTTCATGCATTATGCATCTTGATCTTGCACAACACAGGCCTTGAAATCAAAACCCAAAGGCAATTAGGCAGGAGCAGAGCCAGCTCTGCAGCAGCCAGGGGTGAAAAGGAGGGGCTGGTAAAGGAATGCTCTTGCACCCTGCTCTGTTGTCCTCCGTTGCTGCCCCTCTGCTGTCCTCCTGCAGTGCTTCTCTGCTGCCAGCCCAGGTGAATTGGCATGGTCCATAGGTGGTGGCTGCTTATTTGCATCTGGCTTTGGGTGATACCAATAGACCTTGAGCTGCTGCATCCTCTTGCTCTGCAACAGCAGACAGCCAAGCCAGCACATCAAACACCCACCTGAGCCCCAGTGTTCTCCCCGCACCGGTATTTGTAAACCCTTAACAGCAATTTTCTCCAAGCTATTCCTTAACTTCACTCCTGGCACCAAAAGCTTACATGATCTTGGAGTGTGTCTATGCCAAGAAGGTCCAGTTTTGAAACGGTCACCTCTTAACATCACCCAGCTACAGATTAAAACACTGTTCTCCTCAAAGCCTGTCACTATGGCAGTCTTGGCATCCCCTGTTCATAAGGACAGAAACCTCTTATTTTGTCCAAAGCCAAAGGGCTGCCTCCCTCCATCCCTTCCCCCTCTGGAGCACACAGCAATCTGTGTGAAGGAGCAGAGCCAGTTTGGCTGCTGGGCACTTCAATAGTTCCTTGTGCTTGTTCTGAAGAAAGATCTCCATCCATCATTGCCTGACAGAGCTGGTATGACTGAAACGTCAAAGGGGTTCCAGCACCAGGTCTCACACTACGAGGAGCAGGGAAGTGCCCTGCCAGCGTGTCACCTTGGACTGCTCTATAAAACATCACCTCCCAGGAAAGTTCCCACAGGAGGCAAGAAATGTGAGACAGCAGCTTCCCTCACCCACACCGATGCTGGAGATCAAGTATGGCTTTAAACACCTCCACTCCCCTACCTTTCACTCCTAACCCTACTGTATGACATGACCTGTGTAGCTCCACCTGCCGAAAACCACTTCATATCAGATTGAAACCCACATTTCTGTCCCTCTGCAGACTGTCAGCATTCACCACAGCCAAAGGGCATTGGCAGCATTGACCAGCCTTGCTTGATCCTCAGCTGCCGTACATTGCTGTGGGTAGATGCAGGACCAGGTAAAGCTCTGCTCTGGACCACCACTGCTTCCAAACACTGCAAGGTCCTTAGGGCTGCTTCTTCATTCTGCTTGTACAGCACAGAGACTCTGGTCTTCTGCTGCAAAACAGGCTCAGGCAAAAGGGTTTTAAGGTTGGGCATCTGGATGGGAAACCCTTTCCTGTCATCATAGGGAGGAACCTCTCAATTGCCTTCTCTAGAGACAGCAACCAGAACAAAAACCCTACTGATACCTCAGAATTTTACAAGGGTTCAGGTGTGACCAAAGTGATTATTTCTCATGGGCAGATTTATGTCGACAGCTATGTGATGTTCCACTTCACCCAAATCCCAGGCTCGTCCATACCCTTCCGTGTTGGACTGTCCCTCTTCACACAGTACAGCAGCACACACTGACCCAAAGGACTCAGATTTTGTAATTTAGACGAGGACTTTCAAGTCTGCCCAAGGCAAATCATGGCTCAAGCTCTTGAGTAAAGATTCCAAAGACAGAACAGAATTGCTAAACCTTTTGCTCTGAACTACCATGTTAAGAAGAACTTTCATCCTCTGCAAACCTCAGCTTTCCTACCTGCAAGAGAAGGATGACAGTCTCTTGGCTCCCTGGGTGTTGCTAGGATTAGACAATGTTTGTTCAACATGAATGTAGAATTTGGTGTCTTGTGTTATTGCTACTGTCACATTACAGAAAGGTCAATGAACATATTCTAGTGAGTCAGAGCCTTTCCGCAGCATTAGTGTAGTCCTCAGAGCTTAGCCAGGCTCTGTATTTGGATAAAGCCCACCACAATCCCACCCTTGAAAGATCCCGATGTACGTCAGAGTGGCAGCTCTTTCCTGTCACTGCCTCATCTCTATGTTTAGGATAAGGAGCACTTGGAAGATGATGCTGAAATTTAAGCAGGGAAAGAAAACAAACGCAAACCACACGTACAGGGGAAAGGGAAAAAAAGGGGTAAAAATAAACCAAAGTTCACTCAGAAGTGACCGTGGGCACTAAAGAGTGTCCAAGAGAGTCAGCAGCAGGGAGAGAAGATACGTGTTTAGGTAGAAATTAAACTGAATGTAAGGAAAAATGAGTCTTCCACCTCTTCTCCAATTAGAAACATTCAGCGAGAACCTCTTGCCAGTCCTGCAGCCCGTGTAAAGCAGCAGTCATGTTCCCAAGCCTCTTTCATAAAGCACTTGGAAATATTGTTATTTATATAGCAATATATAAATATTGTTCTTATACAGTACAAAGTACAGACATTTTCTGGGAAAAGCATTGATTCATTTACCCCAAAAATTCATACCTAGAAACCTCTTGCACTCCATGAACCCATGGCAGGGCTGCAACACCGATTCCTAGCACCCTGTCCTGTGGCTGCAGACACGATGTGTCTTGGCTCAGCAGTGAAGTGTGAGGTATGCTGCCTCGTGATCAGAAAGCCACACTAACCAGCTGTATCCCGAATTCTCCAGCCTTTCTGTCACGGAGTTGCAAATCCAAAGTCCTCAGAATGCTGACTTGAACCCAAGAGTGTACAAATCAAACTGCGGGTGGGTGACAGAAGATTTCAACACACCAAAAGCAGAGCGAGGCCAGGCAAAGCTCTCATCTCTGACCTCCTTCTCTCCTCATGCATGGCCTGAATTACTCCTTCTCTGCATCTCTTATCTCTCCCTCTGCAGCACACCCACCCCATCTCCACTACTTCCCCTATCACAATGGCTTCAGCAATCCAAATTACTCACTGCAAACACCCCAGATTCTCCAGCTCATACCACTGCTCCCCAAATCCCTATTTTCCCTCTTTCTGTAAGCCCTCCCATGTCCTCACCTCTCCTACACCCTCACCTTCCCACCACACCACCTCCACTTCCACTTTTAGAGTTCTCCTCTACTACAAACTTCCAGTACCTTCAGGTTGTGGCAGCTGATTCAAGATGACCCACTGCTGGCTGATCTCCATCGCCCCTTAAGCTGGCCAGGAGAGCAGTGTGAATACACGACAGGATGCCAATTCCATGCCCAGCACACAGGAGGGTGTTGAGATGGAAGAACAATATGCTCATCAGCACAACAGGCAACAAGATGTTGCTCTGTGGACTGTGTATTGAAAGGTCTGTGTTCCACTTGGAGCTTTCAGACAGCTGTTCAAGGAAATTGCCATCAATGTCAGCTTCACCACTGCTATTAGACATCTCATCCATGTCTGGGCCAGCTTGAACCCATTTAACTTGTAAGGGATAATGAGATAACAGCATGACATGTTGCAGCTGAAGGTTATTTAAACACCCATCTGGTACCTGTTATGCAGCATACATCCTATTGTTGTATAGGAAATATATGCCACCTCCCTCCCACATGGGAAGGGGAAGATGTATAGATGTGTCCCATGCTACCTCTTCTTTTTTGCCTTGATAAAGTATTTCTTCTTCTCTGTGTTGTTTCTAGCATATCCCTTTGTATTTCCTATCTGTGTTTGGGGAGATGCACTCCCTTCTAGGCTGGTGGGACCTTGTGAAAGGACACAAGATCACAGTGAAAAATTTACTAGGGACATCTCATCGTCTCCTTCACACGTCGGTCAGAAGAGGCTCTACACTATCCAGGTTTGAAAGTGTGGACCATAAACTGTGAAACTGATTCACCCTTTGCAAGACACAACTTGGCACTTACACTTTATCCCAGAAATACTCAGGGGTGACAGTCCATTGCTCTGTTCAAGGGACCACACTCTGTTTCTACAGAGGAACGGTGAAATACCTGCTGAAGGCTGTGAGGTGAGCAATGCAACCTGCTTGCACCTTCCATTCAGATGTACAGACAAGAGGATCTGCAGATCCCAGCTAAAGAGCCTCTATTCTTTATTCAAGCTCCCCGTCTTCCTTTGTAGGATGACTTTGGCTGCCCTCAGTCCCCTGCTGACATTGCCTCTGAGGCTCTTGCGCTCCATGAACCCTCAGCAGCCATGCGGGCCGGGTTGTGTGGTGTCCCAAGAAGTGATGTTCCACAACACAAGTGGTCAGCTCTGCAGATGTGTACTCCTCTCTTCTGTTCTTCTCAGGCATGACTCAGTTTTCTATCCAAGTTGTTCTACCCTATAAATCCTGGACTAAAACCTTTGTCTGACACCCCATCTAGTGCTCAGCACAGACAAATGCAGAGGAGCGGTGCAGCAAGGAAACAGTTGACTGGAAAATTCCCAGCATTTCTTTAGTGGTATTAAACCCCCTTTGTCAAACTATCATTTGAGTTTTCCCCAGAGGGCTCTGACAGAGTCCAGGGAACACAGAAACCTGCCTATGCTGCTGCCAGTTCCTTCCTGTGGCCTCTATGTAGCCTAATGGAGAGGTTGCAATTGGAAAGCCCAGCAAGCTTTGTGCTCCTCTGGGGTTAGCTCCTTGGCAGCCAAATCTGGGGCTTTGAGACACCTCCGAGCCATATGGGAAAACTACCTTGGAATAAGCAGCCAAGAGTCTAAGTTGTGCCCGCCTCAAGACTCAGTGGCAGCTGACAGTGAGAGGACTCTCAAAACAGGGAACAATGAGGCTTCCAAGTGCTGAGTGATCAGCAGCACAGGGCACTTGTTTCACGAGAGATGTCAAATCTTGGGCATGTATTTTGAATGCTAAACAAAGCTGCTCAGTGTTCATCCAACGTGATTTAAAGAATAAAATGAGAATGACTTCAAAGTGCTTTTTCCATTTTTTTAAATAAAAAAAAAACTGCTGAGAAAATGCAAGCTGTCTCAGGGTCTGTCTTTCCCCTTTGCAAACACTCCTTTTTGGTGGTGGTGGTATCACGAAGCTGTCAAGACAAACTATCTGCTCTGAGAACTTGGATTTAATGAAGCACCTTTCTGACATGCTCAGTCCTGTGAGCTGCAGAGTTCCAGGCACTGCTACAGAAATCTTTGGCCTCTGTGATGCTCAGTGCACAACCTACTTTAAACTAAGCCCAAGCCAAGCATCCCTATATTCTTGGTTAATTGCCAGACCAATTAGTACCTTGACTAAGATTAGGTTCCAATCCTGTTCTACTCAGAACTGGGATTATCCTGATGAAACTCTCACTCTACCCTTGCAGCAATACCCTGTCCACAATCCTGTCAGTTCTCAAGGAGTAGTGTGATAAGTCTGTTAACTCATTAACACCTCCAGCTTACAGGAGACTTGGCTTCCATCCTCTTGAGCAGCCTCAGGCCCCACGCTCTGGGAAGTTATTCTGCAGTTTCTGTTTTGCTTTCCTTTCCTGTCAAGCCAGGCTGGCTTTTAGTTCCCACCATGCAGCTCCTGAATGCTGCTGTGTTCTTTCTTCTTGTGCCCACTTTGACGCCAGCTTTGAACCCTCTCAGCACTTCAGTCTTCATGGGGAGTGCTCCTGTCACTTGGCAGCTCCTCTCCCTTCACTCCTGGCTGAAGTGCAGTCTCCTGCAGTGCTGCAATTTGAAGGACACACTGAACTTCTTGGGTAAGGCAGAGGCACCTTGAGCCAAGTGATGGTCTTTCCCAGGGTGGTGAGGGCTTCCCATTTAATGCCAGCCTCCTTTGGAGTGGCTGTGGGAAGATCAGAGAGACTGTCCACAGTGGTTTTAGAAGGCAAAGACTGTACTAACCTAATTCTGCTTATCCCACAGGTGGTCATGTACCCCGCTTCTCATGGCAGTACTGGAGCATTTTCCTTGCTGGTGTCGGTCTCTATTGCCAGAAGCAGGCTGTCCTGCTTTTGGCTGGGCTAGAGTTAATTTTCTTCCTGGTAGCTGGTACAGTGCTGTTTTTTGATTTAGGATGAGAATAAACTTGATAACACACTGATGTTTTAGCTGTTGCTAAGTACTGTTTATACAAAGTCAAGGACTTCTCATGCTGCCCTGCCAGCGGGAAGGCTGGAAGGGCACAAAAAGCTGGGAGGGAATACAGCAAGGACAGCTGACCTGAACAAGCCAAAGGGATATTCCAAACCACAGAACACCATAGAATCTTTTAGGTAGGAAAGTCCCCCTTTAAGGTCATGGAGTCCAGTCATTTACACTGCCAAGTACACTGCTAAATCATGTCCCTAAATGCAGCATAAGCCTGCTCAATTGATGGTACATAGGTTTGAACGATACCCAGCTTGGATCAAAGGCATCTCAAGCAGTGTTTTGTGGTTTCTCCATCATCCTCCCTATCTTTCTGTGCCTGTCTTGGCTTTGCGGAATTATCAGGCTTTCTTATACCAGGCAAGATGATCCTGCTGGTCATGTTCATTATATAAACTGGGTGAAAAGCTGGTTGAGGGCAGCTGCTCAGGAACTTCCTGGGCATCAGCTGGTGAGTGGTGAGCAACTGCATTGTGCATCACTTGTTTTGTATATTCTAATTCTTTAATTATTATCATTACTGTTGTTATTTTCTTCCTTTTCTGTCCTATTCAACTGTCTTTATCTCAACCCATGAGTTTCGATTCTCTCCCACACCCTGCTGCAGGAGGGACACCGAGAGGTGTGTGCTGCTTAGTTACCGGCTGGGGTTAAACCACGACACAGGCAAAATTCTGGGGGTGAGCTCAAGGCTAAGAGCTAATGAAATAATCCCACAGCTTCTTGAAACGGACACACAGTGATATCCCACACCCTGCTTGGTGGTTGCCTGTAATACATGTTAAATGAGTAGCAATTAGTGGTAAGTCTAGATTCAAACCATGCTGCTTCAATTCCCTGAGACAAGCAGGCTGACAGTCCTCAGTGACTGGGGAAGAAAGGGCTGTTTCACCCTGCCTGCAGGGAGCTGCTGCATGGCCTGAAAAAGAGCTTACAAAACCGTTTAACCATAAACTCTGATCCGGGCACTTGGAATCTCCCTTCCCTTTGTCATGGGATTACAAATATTGCTTCATTTCAGAGCTGGGACACAGACTTCAAAACACATCCTCAGCTGTCGGTGACCTGTGTGCCTCCACGTACTTCATTCAGTATGTCACCTCCTACCTGCTCTGAATCCAGCTGCTTACAAACAGGCTGCTTCCTAGTAATTTAGCCACTGAAACACCAATTGTGGTACTTCTTGAAGAGAACCCAATGCAGCAATAGAAGCACACTTTTCTATACACGTGAGGTATGCTGGATGGCACATCAAACCCTCCAGTAAACCAGAATGTAGCACATGCAGTGAACAAGTCTCTGCAAACACAGCAGGTCTCATCCCAGGACCTTGCAGAGAGCAGCAGCCACAAGACCACTGGGACTCCTGCCTATCTCATACAAACTGCTTGGTTCCCATAAATCCCACCAAGGGTCTGATTCATGGTTCTGTTCCTTGGTTGGATTCTCTGCCAATTCACAATGTTGTCATGGCCGGAGGGCAGCAAACAGTTGTTCTCCCCAATGGCCATTCAGCTGCAACCAAACACAAAGGCATTAATAATACGGTATTTTCTGACCCCTTTTTCCTTCAGTAGATGGAGCAAGAAGTCTTTGGCCAGCACCTCTGTACCCAGGTAATTCTGAGAGCTCTGAGTGCAAATAGGTACTCCAAACGGGGCATGAAACTCCAGATACCAATGGGGACAGAGGAGGAGGAGGCTCATGCTTGTGGCTCGGGACTGGGAGCGCCATTTGCTCCAGCGCCTCACAGGACACAGGCGGGTTGGAGGGAAGGGACAGTCACACAAGATGAGGCCTGCGTGGCTCTAAGTGGGTCACAGGAACATGGTCTGGCTCAGTCTGAGGGGAGCGAGGGAGCCCAGCTGGCCCTGAGGTGACGCAGGAGGTGAGGAGGGCACGAGGATCCTCCACGTCACGGCCCGAGGGTGCTGATGCTGTCACACAGAACCAAGTAGGATGACGCCGCTGCAGCACCTCAATGTCTCTCTTGCAGTGAGGGGCCCAGAGCTGAACACAGGATTCGAGGTGCAGCCTCACCAGTGCCCAGTGCAGGGGCACAATCCCTGCCCTGGCCCTGCTGCTGCACTGGTGCTGGTACAGACCAGGATGCTGCTGGCCTCTTGGCTGCCTGGGCACAAACTGCCTCATGTTCAGCTGCTGTTGACCAACACTCCCAGGTCCTTTTCCCTCGGGCAGTTTTCCAGTTATTCTTTGCCAAACCTGGAGCATTCCATGGGGTTGTTGTGACCCAGGTGCAGGACCTGGCACTTTGCCTTGTTGAACCTCATAGAACTGGCCTCAGCCCGTCGACCCAGCCTGTCCAGATCCCTCTGCAGAACTTCCTGTCCTACAGCAGATCAACATTGTCACCCGGCTTGGTGTCATCTGCAGACTTACTGAGGGTGCACTCGATCCTCTCATCCAGATCCTCCATGAAGACACTAAACAACGCTGGCCCCAATACCCAGCCCCGAGGGACCCCACTAGTGACTAACTAGATGTGACACCGTTCACCACCACTCTTTGGGCTCTGCCGCCCAGCCAGTTTCCCCATACACCTATCCAGGCCATGAGCAGCCAGTTTCTCCAGGAGAACGCTGTGGGAAACAGCATCCAATGCTTTATTAAAGTCCAAATACACAATGTCCACAGCCTCTCCCTCATCAACCAGGCGGCCACCTTGTCATAGAAGGAAATCAGGTTACTTGGGAGAAGAGACCACCACCTCCGCTCTCCATCCTCCTGTGAGGTATCAGAGCGTTAATGTCCCCCCTGAGCCTGTTGTTAGTGTCGCTCCCCTCCGGTCCATCGCAGTCAGGGCAGCGAGTACCGCCCGTGCCCATTACAAAGATGGCGGCGGCGGCTACGGGCAGGGCGGGGATTTCCCGCCCACAGGCGGTGACGGGCGCTGCTGCGGCAAGGCGCGGAGCCGCCATGCTGCGGGTGCTGGGGCTGCTCGGGCTGCTGCTGCCGGGGCTGCTGGCGCTGGAGCCGCTCAGCGTGGGGCTGGCCATCGGCGTGGCCTCGGCGCTCACCGGGTACCTGTCCCACCCCAGGTTCTACTGCAGCTACGTGGAGTGCTGCCCCAGCGCCGGCCGGCGCCTCAACGCTACCGGTACGGTGGGGCCGGGGCGGGGGGAGGCCGCGCTGGGCTTCATAGCCCTGCCAGTAACCGGTCAGTGGTGTGCCTGGCAGTGGCCGTGCCGCGCTGAGCCCCGTGCCCGGCAGTGGCCCTGCTGAGCTCGCCCGGTGTGTGGCCATGACCGGCTCTCGTTGGTGGCCAGGCGATGCTGAGCTCTCCCTCTCCCCACAGCGCTCAAGTTGCAGCTGGACACGAAGCTTTTCGGGCAGCACTTGGCCAAGGAGGTGGTGCTGAAGGCAGTGATGGGCTTCAGCAACAACCCCAGCCCCAAGAAGCCGCTGATGCTGTCCCTCCATGGCTGGGCCGGCACCGGCAAGAACTTCCTCAGCCAGATCCTGGCGGAGCACGTCCACCCTGCCGGCCTGCGCAGCAAGTTCGTCCATCTCTTCCTGGCCACCCTGCACTTCCCTCACCACGACCAAGTCAAGACCTATAAGGTGAGGAGGGACACAAGGTAATCCTGTTAGCTTGTCCCTAAAGGCAGGGGGGTTGTGCTGCGTTACGACCCCCAGGTACCTGGCAGCTGGAGTTGGGTATTTCCAAAGCTGATGCTTCGGAGCAGTGGACGGGGAAATCCCTGCAGGAAGTGAAAGGCACAGAAATATCAGAGGGTCTAAAGTGAGAGCAGTTTCCTAGTGCTGCCCTGTCACTAATGCCATCTGTTGATTTCTGCTGTGCTTGCTGTTAGGAAAGAATCCTGCCTGGCTGGGATCAAGGTAACTTTGTCCATAGCAGCTCCCACGGAGCCGTGTTTTATATTTGTGGCTCAAACAGTGTTGATAACAGAGCTGTGTTTTGGCTTTTATGGAACGGTGCTTGCACAGCCTCAAAGCTTGCTTTGTTTCTGCACTCAAAAGTGAACAAGCTGGGGTGTGCAAGAGATTGGGAAGGGGATGCTGCCACAACAACTTATCCCAGTCAGCCAGAGGGTTATTCCATACCATATGCTCAGCAATCAATACTGGAATAGAAGGAAAAAGTGAGGGATGTTGGTTCCTAACACTGGCTGGTCACTGGTCTGCATGTATGATTCCCTTTGCTTGTCTTTTTCTTCTTTCCATCACCTATCAAACTGTGTTTACCTTGACCCATGATTTTCTCACTTCTGTTCTTTGTTCTCTCTCCCCCATCCTGCTGGGGTACTTGGCTGCTGCTGGGTCAATCCACCCCACATTGTGCAGTGAGAAACTGTAGCTTACATGAGACATTTTTAAGTCACTTCATTCCTTGATATTGGAGAATTCCAGTCTTCATGTTTTAATGCTTGAAGGTACCCAGAAGTGATGTACTGCTAAGTAGGGTTTCTGTATGAAAGACAAAACAGTGATTCAAAACAAACAAAAAGAAGCTTTCTCGTCACAAGACTTCCCATCTAATCTTGGGTTTTGTGTCTTTCCATACATTAAGCAGAAAGAATTAGAAAGTCTTTATGAGCATTTAAAATCAATGTTGGATGTCAAAGGGATCAGTCACAGAGTTTATGGTCCTCTCTTCAGGAAAAAGTATAACCGATGAGCATGGGTTGCTAACATTTGAAAGCATGTCCCTAGTGCCTGTCACATACAAGCAGCTCACAGTACATCTGGAAGAGGCCTCATTTTTCAGTGTTTTTCCACCTCTTCTTCCAGGAACAACTGCAGAACTGGATTCGGGGCAACGTCAGTGCCTGTCCCCACTCTGTCTTCATTTTTGATGAGATGGACAAAATGCATCCAGGTCTCATCGATGCCATCAAGCCATTCTTAGACTATTACGAGCAGGTTGATGGGGTGTCCTACAGGAAAGCTATCTTCATCTTCCTCAGGTCTGTAGCACCTATACAGTCATTTTGAGATCCTGAGCTAAATCTGTGTTTATGGTGATAAAGATGTTTCCATGGGAGCTCATTCAAAGAACAGCAAAAGAACCACTCTGGAGTGAAGACCCTCTCTGTGAAGACACAGGGAAGCACTATGAGCATGGCTTGTGACTGTAGTGAAGCAGGTCTGGTGCCATGCAGCAGACCACTGCAGCATGCAGAGCTTGTGGGCCAGGCCCAGAACACAGATCATACGAGAGTTCACATTTTGGGGAGGTTCTCTTGCATGGGTGCACTGTTTCAGTGTTTTGTTTACATCAGGAAGATGAGCAATGTGGGTAACCAGCTGAAAAAGAAATGCTGCTTCAGCTGTGTCTGTACTTACCACGTTTTCCTTTTGTGAACAGCAATGCAGGTGGTGACTTAATTAATAAAGCAGCTCTTGACTTCTGGGCAAGTGGAAAGCGCAGGGAAGAGATTCAGCTGAAAGACCTGGAGCCCATGTTATCTGTAGGAGTCTTCAATAACAAGAACAGTAAGTCATTGTCCCCAGAAAATGGGAAATTTGTTTTACTCATAACACAGGGCTCATCTCTCTGATCTTCTGCAGCCTACCTTGACCCTGCCCTACTTCCTCTGGGCCCATCTTCCTACAGTGCTCTAGTCCTGCACCCTTTTGGCCCTTCACTCCAGTGAAGTGGCACAGAAGTTGCTCTGCATGCACGCTGAAGGAGAGCAGTGGCACCTGCAAGGTACAGTCAGTCTCATCCCCCCTGCTAATGGGCATCTTTTCTTCCTTAGGCAGTGGCTGAGACAAACTGAATTCAGTTTGCCCTGTAGGTCCTCTCTTATGCAGGTTCAAGTTTAGAGAAACTCCCTCCTATGCTTCTTTTTCTCCCCAGGTGGACTGTGGCACAGCAGCCTCATTGACAGGAACCTCATTGACTACTTTGTCCCCTTCCTACCCCTGGAGCACAAGCATGTGAAGATGTGTGTCAGGGCTGAAATGATAGCCCGTGGCTATGCTGTGGATGAGAACATCGTTCAAGCAGTGGCTGATGAGATGACATTCTTCCCAAAAGAGCAGAAAATCTACTCTGATAAAGGCTGCAAGACTGTACAGGCCAAGCTGGATATTCATGAAGACATTGTGATGAGAGATACAAAAGCCAAGGGTTGAGTACCTGTCAGGACTCCAAAGCATTTCCAGAGCTTTTGGAAATCTATGATTTGCACTTAAGCTTTTTTACTGTTGCAGGGAGTTTGGTGAAATACCAGAGTGTGCTGTGTGGGCTTTTTAACTGCAGTTGTATTTTGTGGTTTGTTCTTTGTTTAAACATAACATAGAATCACAGAATGGTTTGGGTTGGAAGGGACCTTAAAGCTCATCTGGTTCCAACCCCCTGCCACAAGTAGACACCTTCCACTAGACCAGGTTGCTCAAAGCCCTGTTCAACCTGGCACTGAATATCCCACTGTTCGTCTCTGAACTGACTGGTATCCAGATGTTACCCCCTTTAGTTTCCTTTTGATCTAGAGAAAAATTCCAAGTGTGTTACATACATAGCACTGGATACAGTCTCTCCTGCTTTATTCTTCCAAGTGCTAGGATTATTAAGCATTTAATTCCACTAAAACTAGACAAGGGCAAAGGAGAACAGAAATTCTCCCAGGCAGTCGTATTCCCTTCCTTGTACACTGTCTCAGTCACGGGCTAGCGAAATGAAGGAGTGTGTGGTGTGTTTAGGACTATGAGAGTGTCTGAAAGGGTGAACACCTTGATGCATTGCAGGTGGATTGCTGCTTAGACAAAAAGAAATGGTAAAAGAAACTTTATATTCTTTAACTAAGGGAACTGTGTGAATTTGTGTGGTCTTCCTGAGCAGAGGTACCCATATGAGGGATCCCACTGCTACAATGTCCTAGACCAGCCTACTGTTCATAATCAGAGAAACCTCTCATGAGGATCTGACTGTTACAGCTTGTCAGGTGAATCTGCATGTGGGCTTCTGGGGCTGAAGTCTGCAAGATCTTTAGTAGTCACTCCCAGCTGCACCCAGTGGGTAATGCTACTCTCACCTTGCTTGGAAGACTTTCATGGCAGAAGTTACTTTAAAATGTGTACTTTTATGCTGAAGTGCAAGCAACAGCAATAGAAAGCTCCTCCTGGAAAGCCACAGAGAAGGGAGTATGGGAAACTGGAGCAATCCACAATCCCATACCTCTGTAGGTAACTAAGTTTTATATAAGTTTTTAATGTTAAAGAATGACTGTGTGGAAGGGTGGGGAGTTAGGAAGCTTGGAAAGACTGAGTTAACCTACACCCACTGGTAAGGCTGAAGTTTAAAACTGTTGCAAGTTTTAACTCTTTCATCATCACTTGTGGATCAAGTATTGTAATGCAAGACAGAAGTGCCTATCACTTGTTGATTGTAGTGTGTTTTCTAAACTGATATGAGGGATTGGGCTATTTTTGTGCTGCAGCATGTGTTCCCTCACTTGTACTTAAACTCACTTTAAGATACAATGCAGAACTTAACAGTTCTCAATGCTATTAATTCAAATTACAACAGAGAGCTTAGCATTTACACTAAGCATTAACATTTAAAGTGTCAATTGCCTTTTACAGCCCCAGGTGGAGTTTGTCAAATGTTGGCAAACTGCTCACACTGATGCAACCTCCAGAGCCAAAGCTAGGTAGCCATTAACCTTGGGACGTTGGACTCTTGCTTTTCATGGATCATGTTTTGGCTGTTAACTGACTCACATGGTGAATCCAGTTTCAGTTACTCCAAATACAAAATATTTGTATTTCAATTTCAAAACATTAAGTATTACTACTATATAGTTTGAATAAATCTTAAGTCACTTTTCTCTCTTGGTTTAATCATTTTCAGCTAAAGTACTAGTTTTTGCAGTTTTTCAACCAGCTGCACTGCAGCTTCCTATTAAGCTTCCTTAAAAATCTGTTTATAAGAATAGATGAGCAGATAGCCTATTGATATGAAAACATTGACTCATCTGACAGCACAGTAAGGAATTCAGCAGTTAAATACAGCTCAGAAGAAACAAACCTATGAAAAAGCATTGAAGTCTGCTTCATAGTTACTGACAGGTAACTCCTACCTGCCATGCCCTGCAGGACAAATACAACTCAGGTAGCTTGTTTAACCATTCCTCCTCTCTGTGCTGCATCTGGGAAGATGGCATTCAAGCTGGCGCTTCACCTCCCTAGCTGGCAAAAATACGATGGAACTACAGGATAAGCATGGGCCAGAGCATCTGCAGCCTCTCTAGCACTGAAAGAGTCAGTGTGTAAATAACGGCCTAATTCAACTGAGGTACAGCAGTTGGCAACAACTCACACCTCACTGAACAGTCTGTTGTTCACGCTGTTGTGAACCATGTGTTGTGTTGTAACGATGCAGAAGGAGTGTATATGGGAAGCATAAGCTGCCTGGTTCATCAGGACTTTGCACTGTGACTACTCCACTCTGTACACACGACAGCTTGGCCCAGGGCACCAGCAGACGAGTATCTAGGGCCAGGCTGCCCCTGTCAAGAGAGCACTCACTACACTGCTGTATCTTAACCACAACCTCTCATTTTATGAGCACAGGAATGTTCCCTGTAGAAGAAGGTTGAATTAAAGCAGCAGTTGCTTGGACTGGACTTTGGTAAGAACAGAATTCATCTCTGACTGCTCAGCTGCTCTTGCGTGGCCAATGCAGTGTTTCCCTAGGGATAAGACCTTTCCCCTATTTGACATTTTCCTCTTGTCTGATTCAGTTTCAAGTGGCCTGCTCTCCTGGTTTCAACTGGGATAGGGTTAATTTTTGTCTTAGTAACTGGTGCAGTGCTGTGGTTTGGATTTAGTCTGAGAACAATGCTGATAACACACTGATGTTTTAGTTGTTGCTAAGCGGTGCCTGCTCTGTATCAAGGAGTCTCTCATGTTCTGCCAGTGAGAAGGTACACAAGAACACAGGAGGGAGCAGAGCCAGGACAGCTGGCCTGAACTAGCCAAATGGATATGTCATGCCCAGCATATAAAAGAGGAGGGAACCGGCTGGAAACCACTGATCACTGCTCAGGGATTAGCTAGGCATCAATTGGTGAGCAACTGTACTGTGCATCACTTCAGCTATGAAACTCTTCTTATTTCAACCTGTGGGGTTTACCTTGTTCTAGTTCTTTTCCCCATCCCACCAGGGGTGGTGATCAGTGAGCAGCAGTGTGGTACTTAGTTACCAGCTGGGGTTAAACCACGACACCTATTAATAATGTCCAAAGTTACTCAGTCACAGCAAGAAAGAGAATGAGGACCTCAGCTTTGAAACCATACTGTCTAAAGGGGAGAAATAACAACAGGATCATATCTGGGAGTGATTTCAGGCACACAAATTTCATTTACTGAAATGGAGATGCTCCTAACCAGGTCTGCTGTCTTCAAGAATGGAAGAGAGATCAAAGACAGTCTCCACTGTTTCAACATCATTCCTACATGCTCTAGAGTAAGCATCAATCTACCCTAAACCATCTAGAACTATGATATAACAAAAATAATTGCTAGCAATGTATGTCAGATGCTGGTATTGATGCTGCAATGGCACACAAAGCAGAACTAAGAATATTTAATGCTGAAAGAGCCACAATACTGCTTGGTTGAACCACTGTTTTTGATGAGAAGCTATCAGACAGTAATAAAAATTTGTAATTTCCACATCTGCTTTTTTCCATTATTTGCTATAATCAGGACATCAAAGAAATAGATAAATACCTAAGTTCAAAGCACTCATTTGCTGACAAATACCAGGACTGATAATTTGCATATTACACAATTTCAGAGCAGAACTGGACAGTTGGAGTCTTACTGGCCCCTTTTTTCCCCTTGCAGAGAAAACTTCAAGCTGCTGCCCCTGAAAATGTGGGTGGCTTCAATGACAGCCTGCATGGTGTTCAGCCAGGGGTACCACAGTGGGAGCAGGAGATGAGAAGCAGGGTTTGAACTGGTGTCTACAAGTTCATCCTTATGATACTGCTGAGCACACATATACCTAAAAAGTCTGCATCTACAAAACACCTGCAAATGTAATTAGTACCAATGGTCTAGAAGTGCAGTTTCCACTCCAAATTTCCTGTTTCCCTTTAACCAGGTAGCAAAGAGTCACACCTCCTCCTCGTATCTATTCCCTTTGAACTCAAGAAAGGACATACCTATATTCAAGAACAGCTGAACACATCAGCCAGAAACATAGCATGCTCTTCCTCAACAAGTAAGTTTGTGCAAAATCAACATAAACTGCTCAATGGAAAGGACACCAGAAGGTAGCTAAGAAATACACTTATGATGAGAAGAGTTTATTTTGAATAGAAACTGGCATGAAAACAAAAAGTGTCTGCAGTGCTCACACTCAGAAACAAGTCTGACACTTCCTGCAGTTAAGTTCAGTTGACACATTTCACTTTTGGTTTTGGATCTGTCTTCATCCCTGCCTCAAAGACACACAGTATTGCAAGGAAGATGAAAAAGGCAAAACCATGCTAGCTGTCCCCCACATTCTACATGTAGGTGAAAAAACTTCTTTTCCATTTCCTTCATGTAAAATTTCACCTGTACATGTTTCCTGTTAAGATACACCCTTTCCATGCAGCTGACTCACCAGTAAGAAAACAAACCTGAGCTCACCCTTGGGCAATCATGCTGTGAACATCGTTATAGATCAAAACCTAACCAAAACCAGGAACCAACTACACTGATGTGGCAGCCCAGGATTTTAACTTACTCCTTGTAATACTAAATCCACCCTCAGAACACTATTCACATGAAACAGGTTCATATGCTTGGTTTGACACACAGACATAGGAACTTCGATTAAAATTCTCAATATTGTCTAGAGATCATCTACATCAACCCAAAATCCAATTAAAATTAGGCCATAGTCTCATCCTTCTATAGGTGCCAACAGTCTGCAAACGGCTCTGAAGACTGACACATGATCCAAGAGGCGTCTTGAGCGCTGTCAGACACAGACTCCCACATTTACAACACAGTTTGTTCTTACCTTGACAACACAAGGCTGACGTACCTGGGAGCCGTGACTAGTGACAGAATACCAATGCAGAGGCACTGCCACTTATTTACACACCAGGAAGGAAGTAATGTTCCTTTCGTAAAAAAGTGCTTAAAAATGAAATGTCCCAGGTTCTCCACGTTGTGATTAAGTTAAATTTGCTTCTTCACAGGTTGCAACAACAAAGTGTTAGAAGTCATAGTAATAATCCAGCTTGGCATCCACAGTTTTACAGCCTTTATCCGAGTAAATTCTCTCCTCTCTGGGGAAGTAGGTCATCTCGTCCGCTATTCTGCTTAGGATGTCTTCATCCACAGCATAGCCACGGGATTTAATCTCAACCCTGATACACATTTTCACATGTTTGTATTCCAGAGGCAGGAAGGGAACAAAGTAGTCAATGAGATTTCTATCAATCAAGGTGCTGTGCCAAAATCCACCTGCAAAGGGAAAGAGAAAGGAGTTGTTACTCCTCTAATTACACATTACCGTGAGTTGCATGAGAACAAAAGGCGTATTACAACCCTCTGCTACATACCAGTAACAATTCACCTGTGGTTTTAGGACCCTATAATGTACAAGTAAGTCCAAATACAAGCTCATTCTCATGGTAAGCATGGTATGCATAAAGTTTTGGTGATACATATAAATGTGGTCCATTGGAGCTGAATGAATGAATTCTGACGGAATGCCTTTAAGCCCTGCTCCCCAGTGCTAGCCTCATACGTTCCCCTCTCTCACCTAGAGAAGAACTGATTTTTTACCTTTAATCAGCTCTTCCAGACCAGCTTTCTGACTCCTGTTTTTGAGCTTGCATTTAACCTTTTAAAAAAAGTTAGCTTCCAAAGCTAATTTCAGAGCATAATTATGTTAAAACCCCCTTTTTACCAGAAGTCCTGTGCAAGGAAACCTAGGAAGCACTGGACTGCCCACAGCAGGGCTGACATATAAGCTTGCTACTCCTAAACAGCTGTCAGAAGGCTTTTAACAGACTGAGCAAGACAGGCTAAGTGGGCTGGTGGTCAAGGAAGTGGCTTCCCCATAATAAAGTATTTTATAGGTTAAAGATTTATCAGCCCTAGCTCTACTGTCAGGATTTACCTTTGCTTTCCCTTTAGCCCACAAAAATGCACAGCATAGACTTCCCCCAACATATATAATCCAACAGACAGCAAACATTCCGGTATTCAAGGTGTACACAGAGCTTCATGTCATCTCAAGAGCTGACTGTAGGCCCCAAAACTGCACTGTGGCTCCCTGCTGGCCAAAAACTAGAGGCCACATCAAGCAGAAACCATAGCTGTAAAAATACAGCTACATGAAGCGCATCCTTTTTGTTTCTACCACTTCCAAAGCAATCCCTGTTTTACTTACTATTTTTGTTATTGAAGACAGACACAGACAGCGCATTCTGGATATCTGAGAGCTGTATATCTTCCCTTGTCCTCCCATTTCTCCAGAAATCTAGTGCCACCTCTGTTATCTTTTCAGCTCCTGCATTGCTAAGTAAAGAGAAAACAAAGATTGTAGCTGGAGGTAGCTTTAAAAGGCATCAAGTGTACAGAATAGCAAACCTGAGAAGCTACTTCATACCTGAGGAATATGAAGATGGCTTGCCGGTAAGACACCCCATCCAAAAGCTCATAGTAGTCCAGGAATGGCTTGATGGAGTCAATGAGTCCTGCATGCATTTTATCCATTTCATCAAATATGAAGAGTGATCTAGGACAGATGCTCACATTTCCCCGAATCCACGACTGCAACTGGTCCTGTGAGGCACGAAAATGAAAGATGGTGAAAGAGTCTGGGTTGAAGAGATAGAAAATAGCACTTCTGTGTACTGACCTTTGTCCTGAGAGAGTAATTTCAATTGTATCATTTTAACAGCTTTGGCTTCTTGACTAGAGCATGGTTAAAAACTATAAATAAAACTTTTAACAAAATCTCATGCTGGTTCTGAAAAACTTTAAGACACCAAGAGATGGGATGGGACAAGCAGGAAATCTCATTGTGACATAAAACATAGCAAAAATTAAACTGCACAGTAGGACACAGGATGGGCACCACTGAGGAACAGCAACACAAAGCAAAGCCCTGACAAGTAAGGTGATTACCTTTGTCAGCACTTTGATCTAAACATCCTTAGGTGTCAAAGCCACGAGCAATACTGAATTTGCTGCCTGAACAGCACCAGTGAGAAACTGCAGCTGCAGTCACTGGCAGAAGTAGAAATTCTCAGCCCTGTGTTTTAATCATTCATAAGTTTAAATGAAGACAGTTATGAGCCCTTCTTAAAACACAGTACTGCTCATGCTTTATTGTATTTGGAGACTCTCTCACTTAAGTGTTACATTTAAGGTCAACAATGAAGTAACTGGAAAAACAAATAAACAACACCCCCCCCCCCCCCAACCGAAACCCAAAGGGTTGATCTGCAGGCAGATGAAGAACTGCTCTGATCATTTGCAATGATTCATTGGTTTTTTTATATTCACTGTTTACTCAGTCTCTGAACCGCAGCACAGGAAGGTGCCATTGCGTGTACTGTGAATAAGAACCAGTAATTCTCCCTGCTGCCTTGGGCAGCAAGATTCCCAAGTGTATTCACCTTGAAACAAAAGCAGAAAAGGATCCATTTTGTTTTAAAACCGCTCAGTTGCAAGAAGCTGTAAAAAAAGAGGAAACGGGTATTTCCTCCATTTAGAAACCAGGTTTGTAGACAATCCCCTTCTCATTTTTAACATACACAAACCAAACAAGAACATTCAGTACTACAAAAGACAGTGCTGCTCATTCAAACTCTGCTGTTAACAAAGATAGACCCCTTGCCCCCCGAAAACATGCATCTCAGCCACCATTCCACATGACAGCAGCCTATAAGGATGCTGGGGAGGGACTCTTCATTAGGGACTGCAGTGACAGGACAAGGAGTAACGGGTTCAAACTTAAACAGGGGAAGTTTAGATTGGATATAAGGAGGAAATTCTTTCCTGTTAGGGTGGTGAGGCACTGGAATGGGTTGCCCGGGGAAGCTGTGAATGCTCCATCCCTGGGGGTGCTCAAGGCCAGGCTGGACAGAGCCTTGGGTGAGATGTTTTAGTGTGAGGTGTCCCTGCCCATGGCAGGGGGGTTGGAACTGGATGATCTTAAGGTCCTTTCCAACCCTAACTATTCTATGATTCTATGAGATCCACCTGCCTACACAGCCACACTGACACTCACAAACTGACAGAACCGTTCCAAATCCATTCTGTACATTTCTGACAGCAGAATATTTCATCAGGTTTGTTTCACAGCTGGGAAATGGATGCACAGAAAAACTAAATAAAACTGCTCAGCGTGCAGCAAAGCTGAAAAGCACAACCGTGCCTCAGAGAGCAAGCTCCAGCTTGCCATGGTACCTGACACACCTGGAGGTCACCATATCACCTAATCATGGAGACCTGCTGAACCACACTCATGTCAGTCACATCTCTAACCGAAGTACAGCATGAAAATTAACCATAAAGAGAGGCTCAAAACACATACAAAACCCCTTCACATTCACAGGAAAATCAGTCCTGAGGGATGTTAGGATTTACTCAGTTCTGTACAGAAGATTCCAAAACGAGCACACTGCATAAAATAGCATCTACGTTTCTAGTGCTGCTCATGCCATAGCATTTATAATTCCATACAGCAGCCACTGCAGCAGAGCTATGCCCCATGAGTTCCATAGCACCCCCTTACCTTGTAGAGATTGATGCTGTGAGCATGAGGGAAGTGTAAAGTTGCCACGAACTGATGGACGTATTTGCTCTGCAGGCCTCGTTTATAAATGCTTTCGGCGACTATCTTACTGACAAAGTTCTTCCCCGTGCCGGTCCACCCGTGCAAGGAAAGGGCAAGAGGCTTTTTGGCATTGCTGTTGTTCAAGAAGCCCTTCACGGCCTTCACAATCACCTTGCTCACCAGGTGCTGCCCGAACAGCTTCTTGTCCAGGTTCTCCTGCAGAGCTGGATGGGGAGAACATCAGCAGCAGCGAGGAGGGCGCGGGCTCCCCTCAGCTTCTCCCTCCTTTGAGGAGGGTCCCGCACCCACCCGGATCTGAAGCCTGCCAGCCCCGGGCAAAGGGCCGGCCTGAGCTGGAGCCACACGGGCGCTGCCTGGCCCCCGGAGCCTCTGCACCCCTCCATACCCTCCTCGTACCCCACAATGTCCCCTCTCGCCCCCCCCCAGCACCTCCCATCCCGCCCCGGCCCCGCACCGGCGGCGGCGCGCTGGTCGTGCTTCTGGAGGCAGCACTCCCTGAAGTAGCAGTAGAGCCGCGGGTAGGAGATGAAGCCGGTAAGGGCCGAGGCGGCAGCGCCCGCGATCGCCAGCCCCAGGCTGATGGGCTCCACGGCACTCGCAGGCGTAAGGAGCGGCAGCAGCACCAGGGCCGCCCTCAGCGGGCCCCGCCATAGCTTCATGACCGGCCCGGCCCCAACCGCCGCCGCTTCCGCCCCGCAATGCCGCTTCCGCCGCCGCCATGTTGGGTGCGGGTAGAGGCGGGGCTGACGCTGAGGGCGGCCGCCATGTTGGCCGGGCGAACCGTAGTTAAGCTAAATGGCGGCCTCCTGTGGTACACTTGGTTAAACACAGCGCTCAGGGTCGGGCAGAGCAGCAGCGACATCCCTGACCGCCATGGGGGCACAGGGGTAAACTGCAGCATTTACCTGACCTAGAGACCTTCCCCCTCTGGGGCTACCTCACCCCTTATGGAGTCTCCCCTCCTGAGCGATGGGATACGGACCCCTGCACAGCCATGGGATACTGTTATCCCCGACACCCAGAAACCATCAGCGTGTGTCCCAGAAGGAAAAAACACCATTTATGATTGCTTAAAACCATATTTATTATTTGCAAGTTGGAAATCCTGCCTTCACGTTCCACATGCCACACTGGCTGTGGGGCCTCTGCACCAGCCGTCACATTGACCCTGTCCTAACAGCTGAAAATGAGATTTTCCTCCAATTCAAGCTACAACCTGACCCCATTTTCTTCAACAGCTAAAATAAAACTCAGTGAACTGCTACAGAAGTTAAGTCTGCAGGGAACAGAATGATATAAACCAACATAAGTCTCTTACGAAGCTGAATTCAAGCAAAACGGCTTTAGACCTTCCCTTCGTATTTACAAGGCAAACAGCACTGCTGCTTTTAAAGGATTTTAAGAGGGAAAAGGAGTCTGTAAAATCACTAAAAAATGCCAACCATGAAAGCTCATGTTCTTATAAAAGAGGTTTTATAACTGGAAATAAGTTACGTACAAGACTTTACCGACCAAAGAGTTCACAATCACCTGTAAAGTGATTCACTACAAGAGCACAAGAAAAGCTTTGTAGGCAACACCAGCACATGAAGGTAGTGACACTACCCACCTCCATTGCAGGCCATGGACACAGAATCATTTATTAGTGGAAAATCAGCTCAGCTGCAAAGACTTCAATCCACGGTCATCAGTATCGCCTGTTCATCTTCTTGAATTTCTCATAGTGATAATCATCGGTTGCTTTTTCATTGAGGGGACGTTTGCGATTCGGAGGAGATCCTTCAAAAGAAGGAGAAGGCAGTATCATCTCCCTGTCCTTTCACAGGAGACAGTTCCTTAACCCCACCAATTCTCTTATACAGCCCCCTGCTATGTGAAAGGTTATTGCTTCAGCTGTCAATGCTCCCTAACCTTGTACTCCTTGCTATTCCCCCTTTCATCAAACCCTTGTCAGCCAGCTGCGAGGTAGGGGTACATCAAGTGCAATAGATCACTCTGTTTGCCCACTATCTCAGGGCACACAAGAGGAGAGAAGAAGAGTTGTATCATTTCTCTATGCAAGACCCCTGAAGAGTCTGAGATTAGGAACTTACGTTCAGGTTCTGGCCTCTCCGTATCCCCCACTCTCAGTGGACGGGGCTTTGGCTCTTCTTTGTTCCTTCGCACTGGTGCATTTAGCTCCTCATGATAAACTGAAAGAACAAAACCAGCAGATAAGGAGTATTATCTGGAGCAGTGTTATTCAGACAGACGTATTTCTGTGGCATCTGTTACAACTGATCTTAAGCAGAAGCAACAGAACCTCAGAACAAACGCTCTTGTAATTAGTTTCTATGGATAATCAATACATGCAAGATGGGATACAGCAGTTTTCACTATCACTATTTCATCAGAAGCAGCCCAAAGATACTTAATTTCCTTCAGAACATATAAATCTGACTCTAAATCACTCCTGTAAGCACGGTTAGATGCAGCAGAAGGCTGCCTTTCCTCCAGATGGCTGCAGTATGAGCGTCTCTCCCGGAAATGAATTCTCATCTCCTGGCTAGTAAGGTCTACGTTTGCCTGACCACCTGTCTGCTTTGGCAGCCTGCAAAATGGATTCTCTCAATTACAAACCATCATTTATAATCTCACACGAGGCAGGCATTTCCAGCACATAACTTAAAGAGTCCTGAAACTTATGAGGCGGTGTCAGATGGGAGTTCAAGAGCAGCAAGTCCAGCCATGAGTAATACATCCCTCTCCTGGTCAGCGGATGGAAGAAAAAGACCAATCCAGATGGGGTCTATATGAGCATCCCAGAGAAAGGAATCAGACAGCTGCTTGTGCTGATACATCAATTAATTTCTCCTACATCAGACTCTGTCCCAACTGATTGCTTTTCCTTGCAGAGGAGAGGGTCACACCTGGGTCAGGAGAGCTACAAGAGACTTACATCTGTTGTGCTGAACATAGTTAACAGCCATGTTGGTGGGAACAAAGGAAGTTTCGCTGTCTTTCTTTTTGTTCTGCTGCTCTGCCAGCAGCTTGGCCTTGGCCTCTTCAGTTGAGATGATGTTTTTTATTTTTGCACTAAAAGAAAAACAAAGAAAAAGAAAAATCCTATTTAGAAAGGGCAGTAGGCATAGAACTGCCAAGTGGGTGGATCCGAGGGATAATAATAGCACTGCTATGGCATTTGATGTGCTCCTTTGTGAGGAGGCAGCGCTATAGAAACAGACACTTTGTTTCTCTTCCAGGACAGGGCATAAATGGATCCTCCCTAAAATTGCTAGATTCAGGTCACAAAAATTAAGAGCCTGTTGCCACAAATCACGGAGCTGCATTAGAGCCTGTCTCTATGGAGAACATGCTGTGGCAGATACTGCCCTAATCCAGAACAAGACTCAGTCCCACCAGAGAGCCACACCAGGGCTGTGTAATCCAGCCCTACTGCTGCTCTGTCACTCAGCAGTTAGTCATCCTGGCAATTCAGGCCATAACCAGCAGATCTGTGAACTACATACTCAATTCCCAGGTCCACTTCAGGAATGCCGCTCAGCATCTGGTTGGACAGCATCTCCTCAGTCTTCTTGGCAGAGGAGACACGGATGTTCTCTGGCAGCTCATAGAGAGAATCCTCGGCATTCTTAAGCTTCACCTTCTGCTCCTCATTCTCTACAATTCCTTTTCTCTTCTTCAACTCAGTCTCAATGTACTTCATCCTAAACAGCAGCACACAAGGGACGATATTTAATCCTGTTTTCTGTAGTCTGTCGCAGCGCTGCCGAGTACAGCTGCATCCCTGGCCTGATAGCTAGGATAAAGGAAAGAATAATCTCTCCCAAAACAACACAGCTAACATCAGCTACAAAACCCAAGATATTTGCTGCTCTATTCAATAAACTATCAGATCCTCCAAGCTCTTTCACAGCCAGAAGAGAAGGCGCCCACCGGTATTAAGTGTTAAACTAGCTGGTTGGCAGTTCCCATCTTTGTCCATGGAAAATCCTTCTCAAGTCTGGTAGCCAGGAGGTGAAAAGGGCAAGTGGAAGTTTCAGTGAGAACTGGGAAGATGTTCTGGGACTGCTCAGAATCCAAGACAAAAAATTAAAGAGTGAAGGGACACCCAACCCTAAATTCAACATCACAGACACATCACAGCACAACTTACATGTCAGCATCTTCATCCCTCCTGTTGGTTTCAGCTGAGAAGGAAGTTCCCAAGTTCAGATCTTCCTCTTCATTAATCCTAAATGGAAACCACAATGCTTAAGAGTTTTGGGGGTTGTTGTTTTGGTTTTTTAACTAATTTGACAAGTTAGGGCAACAGTAATTGGCCAAAGTGCACTATGTTAAACTCTTCGAAGCAAACCAACAACTGGTTACTTCGTTACTAGCTGTCTTTTAATAGTAATCCAGGGAGAGGTCTTCAGAGTTCATATGCACCCACCTGTCCTTGCCTCTTTCTTTCAGCTTCTTCATGTCCACCATTCCCCCCGATTTTATCTTAAATGGATCATCCTGCAAAACAAGAAATAATAAGAAACCCTGAAGCTTCCCTCTAGTTTAATGCTAGTCTTTGAAATCTGGATAAAACCACAGGAAGCATTTAAGTACTGAGCTGGGCCATGAGTCCTACCCCAGGCCAGACCTCCGCAGGGATCAGCTGGATCACACTGATGTTTTCACATCATTACATCTCCACACCGAGGTGATGAAAGAGCCTAGCACTCACCACAAGTGTTGCTTCTTCCTGCAGCTTCTCTCCCACAAGCAGAGCTACAGCGCTAGTGAGGCGGATACAGAAAGTAAACAGAATTCAGTGGAATGGAACATATTACCAACAATGCTGCATTTCTTTATCCTTCTCTAGATCTAGCAGATGGTCTCACACACTGCATCAACGCTAAACTGTCAATGTTCCCAATCCCTCCACATGGATAGAGGAGCTATTACTGTTTTGGAGAGATGAGAATTTAAAGGAGCTTTTAGTGCCTTCCAATGAGTCACCAAAATAAGGAACAAGTTCACTGCTGGTGCACATTTCAATGAGCTCATCAATAGCACTAGATGAGAGGGGAGAGAGGAATTAGGGCGGAGGAGGTGTGAGTGTGTCCAATTTTAAACCATGTGTGCAGTACTGAAGTAATCTGGTGAAAATACATTTAATAGTAAATCCCAATCCTAATCTTTTTTGGCCAGGATACTGAACAGACTTTGCTCACCATAAACTGACCCTGTGCACTTGCACCAAAGTCTTCCCCTTCTCCAGCCTCAGGGCTTTAATGTGGAAACTTCTCCATCAAGAACATGGGATTGGCACTATCTGACATGTAACGATGTCTACTGCCAGGAGGCACGTGGCAAGAGACATATTCACTGTTACATTTCACCCACGGACAAAACCCAACTCCACATCCTTGGTGCCACATCCCTTACCTCACCCCATTAGGTCGCCTTCTGAGGTTCTGAACTTCTTTGGCTTCCTCAAGTTTTAACCTGAGGAAAAAAAAAAAAAATGACTTAGGACTTGATGCTTCAGTCTTAACTAATTAATTCAATTTGACTTTTTTGCAGTTAATACAGAAACTTCTAGACAGACTTTGCTTTAGACTTCTGCATGTCCCATCCCTGGCAGTGTTCAAGGCCAGGTTGGACAGGGCTTGGAACTAGATGAGCTTTAAGGTCCCTTCCAACCAAAACCATTCTGTGATTCTATGATTTTTGTATTGGTGTTCACTTGTCTGGTTACAGACTAGATAGATGTTTTTATTTTACTTTATTTAAACAATTCCATTTATTTAAAGCGATCTGAAAAAAAACCCAAACCCAAACCCACATGGCACCTGCTAGTTATGTCCCTTCAAGATGTCTTCTCAGCTGAGGAAAGAAGCACCCAAATGTTGACAGGCTTTAATAAGATGCCAATATAGGAAGGGTGAGCTGAGGATCCCCCATTTCAGTTGAGTCCCCAGCCAATACTCTCCTTGCAGTAAAGGAGAGGGTCACAACACAAAATGTGGGGCACCTTTCCTCCTTCAATGATCAACACTAGCTTCCCATTTACAGCAGAAGTAGCAGCAGCTCTGAAGTAAATATAACACAGCTGAGAGTTACAGATACATCAGTGCATGGATGACTTAGAAGAAAGTTGACGGTAAATCTAAATATCACGTCTCTCTATAGACTGACGCGCACTCTTGACTTCATCAGATATCCAGACTGATTGAAAGAGCCATCTTTCAGTACCTGCCATTAACTGTATCATAAAATATCTTTCAGACACCAGAAATATTTTGCTTGGAACTCAGAGCACTGAGAACAAGACAGATCACCTCTGAGTGCCGAATTTCAAAAGGCTGGAGTGAAAAGAAGCGAACGCTAGCAGTGATGTGCGATGCCAGCGAGCAGACGGGTGCCAAGCGGCAGCAGAGGGTCTGTCCGTCACCCGTGACAGAGCGCTGCTCTGGGGGGCTCCGGGGCTGGCCCCTCGCAAACGCTTCCCGCTCCCGGTCCGTGGAAAAGGAGGAGACGGACCGAGGCCTCCGGGGGCAGACCTCCGGTCCCCCTCCTGTTCCCGGCAGCATCAGACTCCCGAGGGCGAACCCCAACTCAGTTCGGGGCCCTGGGAGGCAGTGACACAGCGACGTGAGGAGGTAACGGTGTGAGGCGATGCGGTGAAGCTGTAACACGACAGCGCTCCGTGACCGTGCGACGGCGAGACACGGCCGGCCCACCGCCGGCCCCCAGCACCGCTGTGCCCAGCCGGGCTCTCCGCTGACCCACCTGACCTCCTCGGCGACCTGCTCATCCTCTTCCTCCTCCTCGGAGTCCCCCCTCCGCTGGCGGAAGGACTTCTTGGCCGGCATGGCTCCCCGGCACAGCCGCCACACCGCCGCCCGCACCCCACAACAACAACGTCGCGCCGCGATGACGCTAAAGCCCCGAGACGAAGCCGGGCAGCACCGCCCGTCCGCCAGCACCGCGGCCGGCACGATCCGCCGGTCCCGGGAACGCTCCGCTCCGCCGGGCCGGGCCGAGCCCCCCACGTGCCCTCCCGTTGTCTTTCGTGATGAGCTCCCGTGTAAGTCCCAAGTTCTGTTGTTTATCCCGGCAGAGCAGCCCCGCCACGCCGGTGTCTGTCAGGGATGCCAGAAGGGAAACACGCCTTCCGGCCCCCCACTTGTGGAGCCCCTGGGACGGCCCCCTGGGACCTGCAGGCGCAGGGCCGCCACCGCCTCCTCTCCGCCCAACCCCGCTCCGCCCCGCTGCGGCCCGGCCCCCGCTCCGCCCCCGGCCTGCGCGGCCCCTGTCGCTCCGCCGCCGCCGCCTCCCCGCACTGCTCGGGGCGCCGCGGCCCTTCCCCGCATCGGGCCGCAGGGCGCGGCCTACCCGGGGATCCGGCCTGAAGCGCAGCCCCGCGGCGGGGCGGGGGCAGCGGCGCCCCGGGCATCCCGCAGGTGAGAGGGGCCAGGGGGCGGTTGGGCCTCGGGGCCTGTCACGCCTCGGACGTGGTGTTGTGGGGAGGGCGGCCGCGCCGCGCCGCGCCGGGGATGATGCAGCAGCAGTGGCCGAGGGGGCTCTAGGCCGGTCCCCCTGAGGTCCTGCGGTGCCCGGACAGCGGGGCGGTCCTGCAGCCGCCGGGGCCTGGTGGCTGCCCAGGGGTGACAGCGGCATCGCGCCCCCGCGACCCTCGGAGCAGGACCCTGCGGAGCGGCTGGAGGCTCGGCCAGTGACTCGTCCTACCCAGATCTAGCGTGCAGGCATCTTTGTATTGAACTTCACGCACGCTTAACAGCTGCAGCGTCTGTTAGGAGAAGACTTGTATTTTAGGGTCTGTTGTGCTGAGGAGTGACGTAGCAGAGCGAAGGAGGGGTTCCCAAAGGTGTTTTTTTTCTTAAAAGCTAAATTTCTAGGTGTGCTGTCATGTTGTGATCTCTAGTAAAATCTGTGTTAAAACCTGGCCCCCTTTGCCTGTTCTACATAAACCACTCAGATTTCCAATACGTGATGCAGTTCAAACGTTCAGCAAAGAGTCAGAAGTTCCTGGTTCTTCCTTGTTAGTAGGTTAGCTGAGTAAATATTTCTTTCTTCAGTATCTCAAGTATAAAATGTCATTAAGAACTACTGCAGATACTCCTTTATCTTGGTCGGTTATGCAAGATGAGTGAGCAGATCTGTCAGTTGTTGGATGAACAGTGTTGAGATTTTTTTCATTCATACTAAGTTATTTGTCAGAGCATCAGGCTGCATATATCTGAGATTCTTGACAGCTGGCTCTTCCTTTGGTACAAAACCAGTTGATTTAAGGAAAAAAAAAACACAACAAAACCAAGAAATGTGTTAATGTAGACACACTGGGTTTGGCAGCAGTTTAAGCAACTGAAAGTAGGTTGCAGTTACTGTGGAACTGTTCTGACATGTTCATGTACTGTTTCTTCCACAGTGGTGCTTGAGAAAGACAGGCTGAAAGACTTGTTTTAAGGTAACTTCTTTTCCCATCATACACAGTACATTTTGACAAGCACAGATAAACTTTTGACAGTGCTTTTATGAAATTCCCAGTTTCCTGAGTAGCATTAGAGCTGTATGTGCCACCTAAAGCTCTTAGGGCACAGTCGTGGGAAGGTAAGGATTGAATACTTCCTTCTGAACAGTTATGACTCAGACCTTTTCTGATGCATCCAGTCAGGTCTGGGAAGCAGAAAGGAGGTTTTCCTTGGTTTGTTCAGAAAGGGAAGCCCTGGGTGGGAAGATCAGCATCCTAATGCTGGGAAGTTTAAAGGGTTTAATTTCAAGTGGAGGGGGGTGTCCCATGGAATGAGGTAAAACCATCCACATCCACAAAGACTGTACTTAACACCGTGAGCTCCAGACCCACTGCCCAGTTAGCTTAAGATGGTGATTAAGAGGTCTGGAATTAATTTTAAAACAATAATTTGTCCATTAGGTTTTCTGGGAAACCTGTTCTTGGAAAGGGATAAGAAACCAAGGAAGGTGAAATAGCAAACATGGCATTGATACCTTTTTTTCTTTTGTTAACTGGACCAGCTGATGCATTTGGGAAGAGGGTTTGAGTTTGAAGGATCTCAGAGCCTGGAAGTGTCCCAGTTTTATGTGTTAGTCAAAGATACCGTGCTTCTGTCACTTGTCTTTTAAATCAGCATGTATAACATGGTACTTCTCTGTGAAGCTGCATGAAATTGCTCGTTGTTTGTTTAAACATCTTTTCACAGGTTACTGAGATCCTGGTTACAACCAGTAATGTGTTTTCTAGCATGCAAATACTATTTCTTCCCCCTCCAGTTTTGCTTTGCACTTCCAGTTCAGTTTATTCTGTTCCAGAGTGCTGGGAAAACATTGGCATAAACTTATCTTGAGGTTTGTCTTTTGCCAAGGCAAGGTGCTAGGCAAGCTTTTCAGCTCCCAAGATAAGTGTTACTGATATGGCTTATTCATTTCTCCTTTTCTTTTTTTTTTTTTCTTTCCCCCCACTGCCACTGATTCACTGGGAATTCTTTAAAATGTCCTCAAAATGGGAAAACAACAGTCTAGCAACCTTGCTGTGGGAGTCATTAATGTCAAGTTCATCAGATTTTTCCACTTATTTTTTTGTAATGACGTGGGCTTTTCATATCTACTTCATTTCCAGACAGTAGTAATATTTTGGAGCCTGGTCTGTGGTATTAGTATCACTTGTCTTCTTTTTTTAACAGCCATGAGTGAGGTTACTTAAACTACGCTTAAGAAACATAAACTCTTTTGATTATATTTTTTGTTACCAAGACATGTTTAAGGTCTTACCTACCTACGAACCACCACAAAAGTGTTTATCATCATGCTTTTAAACATGCAGCTGTGAAATCTTCTGAGTTGGTACATTTTGTACAGTCTTTGAGAGTTATATGGCTCATTGTTCAAAACCTACCTATCAAATGGTAAACTCCTTAGGGACTGCAGACCGGTTGTCTGTGTTACAGATCATTTCAATCTAATTCCCTCTTGCTCAGCTTCATTTACAACAATCATCATATTTTTAATACTTGATAAAGTAGTGTAATAACTAAATGCTAGATTCAGATCAGCACAGTGTGGGTAGCATGAAGCCCTTAGACATCATAGGCTAAATATGTGTGTCTTGGGCTGCTGCACCCTTTCCCTTTTAATCTAAATTTCATGCAAACAAGCTCATTAGATTTATCTCTTTTCCCTCTGCCTGTCTGTTCAGATCTCTGTGTTGGTTTTCCCACCCCACCTGCTGAGCTGGCTCAGCACACCCAGTTTCTGGGGGGTAGTGTAGCTTTATCAGTCTAGTCATGTTCATGGAGTATTCATGGTATAGTCCATATATACATTTATATATGTAAAGCATGTATGAGTTATTTATTGCTGTAGGACTCTGCATCATTCAGAGATGCTTTGTGATCCAGACAGTCTGGGAGTTTAAGGTTAAGAGGGTGGCCAGTAGGTTGCTGTACTGCTGCTTTCATTTTGAGGCTACAGCAAATCCATCTGTGTACCTGAGAGCTGTGCTGCTGAAGCTATGCCTGGGTACTGAGCAGCTCCCTGCACCTCCGAACATTCCTCCTTTTATAGATTATGAGCTTTATTCATGTGTTTCCTTCTCCATTATCTATGATACCGCAATGCAGCCACTAAGCAGTGGGTCAGAACTGTGCTGGCTAATATGACTGGTTCCAGATTTAGATTTGTTTTGATCTCTGAACTTCAAAGATGGATATCATAATATCTAATACACAAATCATGCTAATTTATCTTCTTACAATCTGTGAGAGCAAATCTAACCTGTATCTGAAAAGAACTATCCTTTCTTGTCTTAGGAAAACACCCCCGTTGCAAGTGAGCATTGGTGAAAATGGGGGATACAAGAGACATCTGTCCTCACCTGGATTCCATAGGAGAGGTGACCAGGGATGATCTGTTGCTCAAATCCAAGGTACAGGGTGTTCTGGTTGTCAGTCCTTTCCCTTTTAGGTATTGTGTATGGGTTTGCATGTTCACTTTTCTAAGAAAATGCTGCCTATCTCCACAGAGGTGAGGCAGAAACTTTCCTTCCAATGCTCATGTACCCTTCACATATCCCATAAATTAAGTCTTTGTTGACCCCACCTGATCTATTTCTCACTGCCACTTTATCCTCTTCCAAGGTGTCACTTAGCTAAAATGCTGCAAAGTGTTATATTTAATTGGAAATGTATTAAGAAGTGAAATCCTGTGAGCTGCAGGTTGGCCAGGCCTGTCTTCCCACTCCTGTAGGACTAGGTTACTTAAAAACCAAACAAGCAAACAAACCTTCTTTTATCATGAAATTACAGGGAACTTGCCAGTCTTGTGGAGCCGTGGGACCAAATCTCTGGGCTTGTCTTCAGGTAAAAATGGCTTGTTTGTGTGCATGATACAGTGGGGCTTCTCTTTAATATCATTTACACTGGAAAACAAAAAGAGCAGGAAGCAAAGAGGGGGTTCACAGTAGAACTGTCCACTGGGTTTTGATGGCTTCCAAGGAAAAGACTCACTAGATTAAAGACTAACACTGTCAAAATATGCCAAGAGGAAACAGTTCACTCCCCAGAGGTCATTGTCCTCTGGTAGTCTCAGTAGGAATGAACAAAATGCCCAGCATTGCCGTTGGCTGGGTCCGGCCTCTGCTGGCAGCTGTGAAGGGAGGCTGCAAATGTGAGACATCAGATGTTGCTCATGGCAGTGAGGTGGAAGGGAGTGACAAGGGACATGCGGGTGGGCAGGGGCAGTTTATTTTTACACTAGAATGTACAGACATGCTGAGACTGCTCAGATGAGCTGCCCATTGGAGCAGTTGCCTTGGTACGAAGCCTTTATGTGGGTGCAAACCTCATTCTAGGTTTTCTTTCTTAAATCAAACAGTTCCAGTTTTTAGTCTTATTCCAGGACC